GAAGAAGAGATTCGTTGGTCGATCTCACCCGATGAGGACGGATGAAACTCGTTGTACTGCAGCCGTTTGGATTGTATAGGATCGAAACCCAGTTTCTCTTGGAAAGGCTTAATTACGATTCCGATTACGGTGCCCGAAACCTCTGTAAATGTACTAAATCCACGATCCGTTGCTGGAAATTATCATATATACTGTGATAGGGTACTCCGTACAGGGTGCGTTTTTTGATGTCTTTATGTCAAATTGACCAACTTGCGAAAGCCAGATCAAACGACTCATACACAGCACAAGGATATGGCGACCAAAGTACGGACAACACATTTCATTAATCCTTCTTTCGTTTCCCATTAGACAATTTACGAATCCATTCGTTCACAAGTTAAAAAAATGAATTTATTAATGGGCAGTTAGAAACCTAATTTCGCTCAATCAGGAGGTTTTTTAGCATATGATTATTTAGGAAATTTGATTTTGTATGCGTTTTTTATTCCTGCACATATTTTTAAATTTTTTCATAAGTCCTGCTTCTCTGTCGCTATATCTTCCGATAAATGCCGCGATTGGGACTTCTGCATCAGGTCTCTCAGTTGCATCCTCACGGCTTCTCACGCATCGGGAGGCGGTACTTCAGTTTTTGTCCACTTGTCCTTCTCTAACCGATATGGAGGCCTGGAGTCAATGGCGAGCTGGCGGCACTGGTTCTGATTCCAGTGTCGGACCTCTTTTTCAACGATGGGGCGATTTAGATAACTTCCTTTTGGAGTCAGGACCTGCTATTGGCAAGAGAACGTTAATTTTTTGAATATCCACTATTATATGATTCATTTTTGCCAAATTGCACTTACAGAGAAATTTTATCAGGAGTTATCGTCTCTTATAGTTGCTGCAAATATCCGCTTGTAAAATTGTTATATAGAAGGCGTAACAATTGAGTTGCCGACATCTTAGATTTATAGTTACATTTCTTGTCTTGAGATCTATCCGATGTAAGATAATGATTTATTTGGTAGCAAAAAACAGTATTTACATTTAAGTTAGCTTCTTTAAAATATCACCATCCTACACAAATTTCTTGACTCGAATCAAAATCTTAGGGTTTTGTGATTTGCAAAATTATTTTTATTTGGCAGATTTTG